TGGAATCCAACGCAATTACATCAGGATAATCTGAAGGGACACATCACTCACACACTACCAAAGCTCCGATGGGTTCCTGTTGAAATGCACCTTGGGGTTTGTATTGATCGTGCTTTATCACTCTCCACTTCTTGTTTCCTCTTTCGCGTCACAGGAAAAGCTCTGACACACATCCTCCGTAACCAGTTCAAACCCAATGTGGGAATGCGTCCAGACTCCAAAAAGATTGCTGTTCTGATCACAGACGGGGCGTCTTATGATGACATAGAACTTCCCTCAAAGAATTTGAAAGACAGCGGCATTGAAGTCTTTGTTATTGGTGAATAATTTCATTTTTCTATTAAGTCTTAACCATTAAAAAGTGTTCTAAAAACAGTTAATGAAAAAAATGGTTTAAACCCCTTTAACTAAATCTGAAAGTCTAAACTTCAGTAACATCTTGATGGGCGGCCCCCTCTACCAGCTTATTTCCCAGTCCCAAAACCAGTCCCAAACAGGGTCATGAACCCTGCCTGAAACCTTGAGCAAAGCCTATTTTAATCCTAAAAACCTTTAAAAACTTACCTGAAACTGTTCCAAACAGTAAGATTTAATTTGCTTCAGCTGTTGGAATTACAAGTTCACAGTGCCGGAGCCCAGCGTGCTACAACAGGCTGCCTCACACCAAAGACAACCCTGACACGGGCTGCACAGCTTATATACTGTGACAGTAACTGTGACTGTGGGCAGTCCTCCCCGGTTCAGTCCTTCCTTCTGACCTCGCCTTGTGTCTGCTTCTCCTGGAATCAGAAAGACAGACACAACACACACCCTGCATAGCCTTGATTATCTAATATTATCCATTATTCTTCTGCTGATTCTAAGGCCCAGTTCAGGGCCTCGTTTGGACTTCCTGACCCAGAGACTATTCTAACCAGTATCATGTGTATGTAAGCATGCTGCAAAAACCCTCCTTCACTCTATGTCTTCCTGCAATATTTCAAATCCAGACAATAGCACTGAATGAAGCTCTCAAGCCTCAAAACACAGAGCGCCGACCTGTTTATGAGCACATTCGCATTATGTATACATTAAAATAAAACAACAATTCTATAAACCACAATTTTTCTACTCTAACCATGCAAGCATACGAACCCCTGCCCAGAGTAGAACTGAGTCCAACCTGTCTGCAGGACACTGGTTCCAAATATGACAAAGCCATGTAGCTCACATGTTAAGCAGCAGTACTGACACTTTTGTCTTTCAGGTGTTGCAAAAGTCAATGTGACTCAACTGAAGTTGATCAACTCTGATCACAATAAAATTTACATAGTCAAAGATTTTGACAGTCTCCAGGACATTGTTGTCGAACTCATTATCAACGTCTTTAAAAGTGTTAAAAGTCTAGGTAAGTAAAAAAACATTCCTCCATTACAACGGTGCATGTTCGAATGATACTGATGTTAGCATTAGTCTAAACAGGGCGAGGCAATGGGACAAGTATGTGGATCCATGCATTTGAAGGCAACATTGGCATCAGTGTGATCCAGCCAAAAAGCTCTAGGCTGAGTTTCCAGTAGCTATTTTTTTCTGTTACTAGTCATGGGCAGGTGTGACTGACTGCTAACTAACTCACAGCAGAACCAGGAACAGGAAACCATCAGCTTCTTTAAATTTGAGAAAAGAAGGAAATGTGCATAAGGTAACCGCCTGACTTTAAGGGTGTACAGCCTCCTTTTTTTCACAGTGAAACTGCACCATGGGGTCCTTTTGCATGTTCCCAAGACTGTGCTACAAAAGAAACATTTACTTTGTTTCAGTGTTTTATTGGACCGCTGTTTGATTTCTCTGATCTCTGCAGACTCTGTCAGGCTGCTGAACGGTTCCAGTCTGTGTTCAGGCGGACTGCAGGTGAAGTCTAACCAGAGATGGTCCTCAGTGTGTGAAGCTGACTTTGACCTGCAGGATGCAGAGGTGGTCTGCAGGGAGCTTGGCTGTGGGCCTCCTTCGCTCCTCCAGGGGGCGCTCTATGGAGAAGCGGAGGCTCCAGTGTGGAGCAGAGAGTTCCAGTGTGGAGGCCATGAGTCTGCTCTCCTGGACTGTAGAAGCTCAGGCTCAGCTAGAAGCAGCTGCTCACCTGGCAAAGCTGCTGGACTCACCTGCTCAGGTAGAAGAGGAGCTGCAGCTTTGGTTCAAACTCACTTTGTTCTTTCACTGATGACTCTCCGCTTTCTGTCAGAGCCTGTCAGGTTGGTGGGAGGAGCCAGTCGCTGTGCAGGTACACTGGAGGTGAGACGAGGAGAGTGGAGACCAGTGGCGATGGATATCTGGAACCTGAAGGATGCAGCTGCTGTCTGTGGACAGATGAACTGTGGTTCTGCTGTTTCTGTAGGAAATACTCAGAGTTCTTCACAGAGATCGGTGTGGTGGATGGAGTCACACTGTGTTCAGGCTGGATACGCTCTGAAAGAGTGCGCATCAGCAGATCGCTCTTCCTCCACCCTGGATATCACCTGTTCAGGTAAGTCTGTCAGAGACATCATCTAGGACGGTGAAGTTTCTCGTTACCCGTCTCCTCTGTGACAGTGACCGTGGTAGAAGTTCACTGGACGTGTTCATGGTCTCCTCGTTTGGTAGAGACACTGTAATCTGACGGTCCTGAGTCCAGCATTGTTGAGCTGATTGTGTTTAGAAGGCCTTTTTGGTTTGTGTGTAAAGTATAATTCAATTGCAGTTGAAGCTGTATAATGAAACATGAAAGTTTTGAGTGTTTTTCATGGTTTCATTGCTTATTTAAGTTAATTCTTTAAATGCTGATGCTGTGTAAACAATTTTAAAACTCATAAAATGAAATAAAACTCACTGAACAAATTATTCATCTAAACAACATAAAATGTTTCCAGTTTAGCAGTTCAGTGTGAACGCCAATCACGACCTTCGGCATTCAGTGTGTTTCTGATGCTTTTGCTTAGAATCAGAATCTTTATTGTCATCGTCACAGGTGCAACGAAATTAAAAATGGTCCCCGATCACTGCATCATCCCTAACGATATCAAAATATAATTAAAATATAAATAAAACAATAAAACTCAATAAATAAAATAAATAGAATACTTAAAGTGCTAATAAGAGACATCAACAAACATTCACATACATGCTTCGGTCAGCGCATAGATTAATACAAGAGTGGCATGATTGGCATTTTTTTTGTAGCAGCATTCAGACGTGTTACTGCAGTTGGATAAAAGCTGTTTGAGTCTATTAGTCCTTACACTGATTGCTCTGTACCGTCTGCCTGAGGGCAACAGTTTAAACAGGGAGTGCCCAGGATGTGAGGAATCTTCTATGATGTTTTGGGCATTTTTAAGACAGCGGCTGTTGTGTAGATCTTCCAGTGTGGGGAGGGGGCAGCCAGTGATCTTTTGGGCGATGTTAATGACCCCCTGGAGTGCTTTCCTCTGAACCCCTATGCAGCTAGTGTACCAGATGCATATGCAATAGGTTAGTACACTCTCAGTGGTGGCTCTGTAGAAGAATGCGTCCTTCATTCCCCCGAATTTGAAGGATGGGTCAGGTGTGTCCTTCATGGCCCACCATATCCCAGAATTCATAGCGCGGCCCAGCCAATTTCAGTTTTCAACAATGGCGGCTGCTACTAAGTTTTAAAATTACTCTTATTACTCTTTCTGGGTCACAAAGTAAACTTTTAACATATTTTCAGGTGAGAAAGTAGCTGTGTAAACTTCAAATATCTGCTCGGTTTATCAAGACGTCGCATATTTGCAAAAGTGCACCAACTGTTTCGGAGACGCCTGTTACCCACCAGCTCGATAGCTGACCGGGGGGTTCAATGGTCACTCGAGCCGGCGAGAGCAGCGGACTCCCAGCTTCATCGTTTTCAGACCCCCGCTGTCTTTCACTACTCAGGTTAAACATGATATAAGTCACTCGAATAACTTAAAAATGTAATTGTTTGGCTTTTTTCTGTGTTTTATTTGTTCCTGAGTAAATCGGTTTGGCTGAGATCAAAGTTATTAGATTAAATAAAACCTTATTAATCCCTCGGGTGGGTTCCTCCGGGATTTTCACACAGCTGAATAAACGTCAAAGTGTGAGACGGTCGAGAATTCACGCCCGTGTGCTGTTATATTTTAGACAGCAAGGAGCAGACGGCGAGTTTATTAAACTCCACCGACACAGCGGTGACACAAATCTCAAGGCTAGACCGTCCCATTTCACAGCCTCGCACTTCCAGCCTTCTCAGTCTTCGAAGGACCCGGCCCACGTCGACCGCGAAGGCCGGGTCCTCCGAAGGATGCAGCCTACGTTTTGGGACACAGCTCCAGAGTGATGTTATCCCTCCTGAGAATTCTCAGGAAGTCTCTGTTGGGCCCATTTCAGCAGCTCGGAGGTGTTCGCACTCCAGGAAAGGTTCTCCTCTATGTTGACTCCCAGGAAGCGGAAGCTTGGCACCCTTCCTACACAGTCCCCGTTAATGAATAGTGGTTGGATCTCTGCCTTTTTCCTTCTGAAGTCTATTATGAGTTCTTTGGTTTTTGAAGTGTTGAGGAGGTTATTGGCCTTACACCATAACGACAGCTGCTCCACCTCGTCTCTGTAAGATTCGTCACCCCTGGAAATGAGCCCCACCACGGTGGTGTCGTCTGCAAATTTCACAAAGATGTTGCTGTGGTGGACATGAGTGCAGTCATGTGTAGAGCAGTGGACTGAGCACACAGCCCTGGGGTGAGCCAGTGCTGAGGCTCAGGGCTGAGGATGTGTGATGGCCAACTCTGACTCTCTGTCTATGGCCTGAGAGGAAGCTGTTGATCCACATGCAGGTGCTGTATGGAAGCCCCAGGTCTTGTTTACAACAAGAGTTTAGTTTCAGCTCTGTCGTTTCAGTCCACGACCAGACAGATTTCCAGCTGTCTCCACTCTGCTTGGAGCATGATTACTGGATGGGTTTCAGGTGTCCTGCCAGCCTCTGTGGCACTACCCCTCAAGCATGCTGCACCATCCTTCCCTGCAACGGACCCGTAGACCAAACCTCCGCCACACACCCCCGCCGTCCAACTGAGGCCAGGAAGCACCCCAGCGAGTGGGAGAGAAAATCCGCTACTACCAGCTTGGCCTATGGACCACCTTGAATTTAAAGGGGTGCAAAGAGCTCAGTGAAGCGCTGGAAAGTTGTTGTGGTTCCGAACAAGCCAAATGGAAAGATGACACATCTGCAAACCGCTGCTGCTGTACAGCAACATCTGCTCCCTTGGGCTGTGTGAGATGGTAATAACAATCACCCACATAGTCAACATCACCGACTCGCTGTGTAACCACAGAGGCTCCTTAACACTTGGCGAGTAACCTTGAGCTAGAAGAAGGGCGATCGTGGCTCAAGAGTTGGGAGTTCGCCTTGTAATCGGAAGGTTGCCGGTTCGAGCCCCGGCTCTGACAGTCTCGGTCGTTGTGTCCTTGGGCAAGACACTTCACCCGTTGCCTACTGGTGGTGGTCAGAGGGCCCGGTGGCGCCAGTGTTCGGCAGCCTCGCCTCTGTCAGTGCGCCCCAGGGTGGCTGTGGCTACAATGTAGCTGCCATCACCAGTGTGTGAATGTGTGGATGACTGGATGTGTAAAGCGCTTTGGGGTCCTTAGGGACTAGTAAAGCGCTATATAAATACAGGCCATTTACCATTTTACAAGCACTTTATCTCTGGGTGAAAATTGCTTGAGTCTGGCCACTCTGTTCTACAGGCACTGCTGGCATTCCTGGACCGGGAGCAAATTTTTTTGTGATAACCTTCCCAGTTTTCTTCAGTCAGGTCCAATAAGCCCCGTGGCTTCCGGCCATTTCAAATTAGAGAAAACCCAGAGGAGGTCTGGGGCACCTCCCATGCTGCAAACAATAGAGGGTCTAACCAGAGATCCCGATTGTGTTCATCCTTGTGAATGGACTTACGAATCATGGATTTTAAAGACTTATTCAGCCGCTCCACCTGTCACTCCATCAGTCTGAGGGTGGTAGACACTGGTCTGAACAGATGAAATGCCCAGTAATTCGTACAATTCTTTAAGTGCATGAGACGATGTACCCTGGTCAGTCAGTATCTCTTTCACAATGCCGACTCAGGAGATCACCTGAAACAGTGCCTGTGCTACACGCTTTGCAGAAATGGTGTACAGCAGCACTGCTTCAGATATAGAGTTGCATAATTGACCAGAACTAATACAAAGTGATATCCGCATGCACCATCGAAATTGCCCAATAAGGTCCATCCCAATGCACTCAAATGGGACCCCCATTAATGGTAGTGACAATTAATGGGAGCCGGTGGGGCCTCACGAGAAGCCCCTGCCATCTCCTCCAACCCAGAGTCACCACTGAGTCCAGCACAGACACTACACACCGCACAAGGTGAGTGCTTCCCCCACACACTATCCCAAAATGTTATTAAACCCCAGCCAATCTGTCCCCAGAATTAAGAGATACGACAGGCGTGAGCTAACTGCAGCCTTTACATGTGTTTTGCCCTTAAACTTTATCTGCAGCTGTAGTGGAGATATCAAAGATAGGCACGGCTGTGGCACTGATTCAGTCTTTGAGCACTACGGTCACCCCGGTGTGTCGGCCAGAACACCACTTAAGGCCAAATTGCCCAGAGCACGAAAGAAGGAGAGAGCTTGAGGTTCCGTTTGAGGCACTTTATTGTCACCGCTTAATTTCTGGGGCTGTAACACAGCGGGTGTACATAAGTGTATGTCTGGGTGTGTGTGTGTGTGGTTTCCTACAAAGGAAATAAACAAGGGAAATAACAATAAATAAAGAGAATGGAAAAGTCAAATACTCAAATATAAACATAATACAACATAGTTAACATAATCAAATATAAAGATCAGAAAAATATAATACACTTCAAACTGCTCACACTATGCAACTAAATAGCATTAGTGCGAGGTTAAGCAACCGTCAGTACATGTGAACTACTTCCGGTAGTTATACAAAATAAAAGCGCCCCCCATTATATTCCGCTATAATGCTCTTATTGTGAAGGGCAAGCGGGACGCCATACTTCTGGTTATACTACGTTCGCTATTTTATTAATCCACGTACCTAATTGTTCACTACAAACCCCGCTACTTCAAAGTAAACAATCACAAGCATCACATACAACATATAGAGAAGGTCTGATAACACAGGAATGACATTATGGACATACGAGCGACCGTACATGCGTCAACAAAGCTAAACCGGGGCCAAGCTAACAACATAAGTTAGCATATGAAATGAGGGTGAACTCACGCGTTGCATGCGTGGCCTACCGCTCCAACTATGGACTACATTAGCTCCTAAATGGTAACATACTACAGTACTGACACAACAAAGGCAAAATACGACACAGGTCACTACTTACTTGTCATTTACGCACACCTAACATGCCCCAGGAATCAGTGCACCCCCTCCGGACCAACACTGCTCAGCCGCCATTAAACTGCCCACCTTACTAACCGGATGATGTCACTAGA